TACTCGCATGCTTCTAGTTCGGCCTATGACGTCAACTAAGCAATTCACTCTACGCCTCCCGAGATGCATATAAAGTGCATACAATACATTTGGATGAGACAGCGAGTTTTTTCGACATTTCATCTTGGTGTGTTTTCGCGAAAGATTGTCTGCTCTGAGGATGCTATTCACAGGATAGACAACAATTTATCACCTTTTCACCGGACGTGGGGTAGGATTGTGTCGGCCTGAGCGTTCCAGTACGGTCGTTGAGTAGGATCAACCCTCGAATCGCTTCTTCACACACCATCACTCGAAATGAGAAGAGCTGAACAAAACTGTATGCCCACATGCATGCACATTTAAGCATTTGGGGCAAACAGTTTTAGTGAACTTGTCATTCTCTGGGTGGGATCAATCTGAGTCAGTTGCCGTGACGGAAGGGTACTAATAGAGCCTAAACTCGAACTCAGCGTGAATGCTCGAAGGGAAGCAAGAATTGATAATTTCATTTGTCAAAAATGAAATAAAAGTTCAATCCATATGAAATCTAATCAGCAAACTTAGCGAGATTTGCGGCAGGTTCATGCACGTGAGGCCACAATCACAGTTGCCTGTGGCCCATAAGTCGAGACAATTATCTCCCAGTTGGCAGCATCTACAGCGGACCGGCGATATTTTTGTGTAAATCGACAAAATTGCTGTAAACCAAATGAACACCTTCAGAAACTGTTGGAACATCTTGCCTTGGAAGTCGGGTTCGAGTCGCTTCTTGCGTGTTTGTGCGACTCTGCCAAGTTTGAGGCTTCAGTCGAGACAAAAAGAGAAAGTCTTTTGGAGCAGAAGATAGAATGAATTTCGATGCAGCTCGAGACCTTCTACTCGCTTCATTCTGGCCCATTCTACACTCCGACCTTGCTCGGCCAATTGCGATTCTGCCTCTCGTTCAGGCTTTGCGGATCCTTTCGAAGTCGCCTGCGTCGCTGAATCGAGTGGCGCTGGCTGACTGTCCACGACTGACCCAGACCAAGCCTCGCATCGCGCGCCTCAAGCTGCTCGATGACTCATGCTGCAGCAGAGTTGCGTTGCCCTTTCCGTGGCAAGCGATCGATAGGCCCTTTTCTAAGCCAGTCTCTTATTGCCGGTTTTATTCAAATTCTTCTCGATCGATCGAGTGAGCGATCGTCTACTCACAGATGAGGCGAGATTTGGTTGAATTTTAGACTATTTTTTCTATTCTCTTCGGCCTCTAGTTGATCTGAATTTGGTGTCGTGTGAAAGCCTGTCTGGCGCAGAGTTGCGCGTAGGTCGGCCAGGCCAACTGACGAGGCTGGACTCCAAATGGTATGGTTTGTTTGTGGCGGTGCTGCTGTCGTTGTTGCTGCCGCTTGACTTGATTGGAACACTCGAGCTGTCTCAGTTGCAGAAACACTCTCAATTCGGTTATGGTGGAGATATGCTGGTAGCTACGACGAAAATGCC